TTAGGTCATCTAAAAATTGCCAGTGACAATTGCAAGCGACATGGTAACCTGCCATTGAACAACATGGTATCTTGTGACATAATTACCATGTTATATGAAGGAACGTGTTATTATTGTGTATATTTAGGGTTCTGGCCTCTCAATTACAGAGTTGCCACATGGTTGTGTGTCCTGGAAAGTCATGCAATACCATGGAAATCCACCAGGACAGAAGTCTGACAATTGGATTTGCTCAGATAGTCTTTTAGGAAGTTTTAGGTTTGAACAGGACTTGAAACATCTGTATAAAAACACTTTTGGCTAAATTCCATCTCCACTGTTTAGAAAAGAATAGTGTTTGTGATAGTTAATTATGCTTTGAACTCAACCACAACTAGCAAGGCTGTAACCACAAAGCAGTCACTCAAAGGGCTGAGTCACAATAGCACTCCATTAAATATTAACTACAGGTGTATTCAGTGCTTGAAACACGGCCTGAAAGGGGGCTTCTAGGAGGAAAGATAACATCTGTGTCTAATGAACAACACTCATTCAAGGTTCTGCCTCATTTAGATTTACCATTTTTCTAAATTTGTCCAACAGAACAGTCTCCTCCCCCATGATACAAGGACATTTATGTCACATATTGCTATTGAGTGATGTGCAATGTAACGTGGCAGTGCCGCAACAAAATATGGCCACATGGAGATGTTTCACTCTTGACCCTGGAAGCATTGCTTGTACAAAGCAAGACTACATAGACAACTAAGATGATGGCACAAATAGCAGAATTCAATCCATTCAAAACGCTGCTGGTAAAGTTGCCTCTCCTTTGCAGCTCTGACTGATTGATTCTCCACGTTCAAACTCTTCAATGGATTTCCCCTTGCCTGCTCCACTGGTCTCATGTTTTTGCCCTCCCTTCAAGGTCCACTCCTGTTGTTTCTTTTAACTCTCCATATCAATTCCTTTGTGAGCCTGTCAGTTTTCTAGTTTCTCTTTGTAGTCTTCTTCCATTCTCATTTTCACATCTTCTTCCATGCTGCCCTGTACATCCAGAGCAGCCTCCTCCTCCCAATGCATCAGGAATGCTTCTTCAAAACACTTCTGAGAAGCCTTTCAAAAATAATTTCTTTAAGACTTCTATATCATGTTAAACTTATTCCCTTATCTGAAAAACAACGGGCATCTCATCAATGTAGTCTATGTCTAATTAAGACAATAAGCTATGGGCAGGAAGTGGATCTAAAGTTTTTAAAAGATCCAAACATCCTCCTGGGCCTCAAAAGAATAACAGTTGGTAAGTGGCTAACCTAAATCCATATTCCCCCTCTCTCTTAACCATATACAAGGACTAGGAGACCACGTGCCCAGTAGTTACAGCAAAGGATTGGGATCCAAGTCTCGGCTGCTAATCCACACAGAGCCAAATGAGTCACTATGGTATGTGACCTCAGAGAAGTCATTTCAGTTCACAGTGCCTCACCCAGCCAACTTAAGGAATAGTGTTAAAATGCCAGGCCCCATTGAAAGCCATATGTTGCATCTGTACACAACTTTATGCAAAAACAAAATTGGTTAATTTTAAAGTGAGTTGATTTGAAGACAAAGATGCTGTGTCTGAGGAGAGACTTGAGGCTTTTTTCTAGCCATGTTATTCCCTGACCCTACCATCATCAAAATTCCTATCTCCTTGCTTTCCTTCACATTGCACAATTCTAACTAGGACATCCCACAGCAAGAGACAATGCTTTAAATACTAACTTTTCCCCCTGATTCTGCTGTGCACTGTTGAATAGTTTGAGAGTGGCTGCAGTTCAGTGGTAGGTTAAGCTATTACAGTACATCTAGGTCTAAATCATGTAGACCTTACAATAGATAAAGCTAGCATGTGAGCTTTGCAAGGACCAAGAATGATTGCAGGATTTAGTCTCTGGAGTTCCAAGTGCTTTGGGATGCTACCCAAGTATGCAGTATTCAAGCCATGCCCCATCCCCTCCAATCATCTACTAGCCTTGAGCATGGTACCTTTGTGCATTAACCAGCCAAATGACTGAGCCTGCAGGATCAATATGTTGCTTGCTTCCTTAGGTAGTATTTTTAAGTATTGCTTGCCTTAACATCTACAAGAGGTAATGATGGCCAACCAAACTATACAAGGAACTACCCAGAACAGGTTGTTTCAAAACATTTTTCACTGCTGTGGCCAAAAAACCATCCATATCTAGATTATCCTCAATGGAGGAGTAAAGGGGAAAAATAACCCAAAGTCTGACCACATTTTTGCCCTGAAGACTGCCAAGTATGCGCTTCAACAAACTACTATAATGAGCACAAGTTCTAAAAGGCCAGAAGGCTTCACACAGAAAATGCTCTGCTCTAGCCTGGAAAAGTCAGTGAGAGAAAGAGAAGGAATGACCAACAGGATTCCTACAGCCAGCCTTAACTATGTCTACAGGATGTGACGTGAAAAGCTAAACTAACAAGTTCTCAGAGCATTTAGATAACACCTTGAATTGCAGCTGGAAGAGGGAGGGGCACTCAGTACAAAAACATCTGAAGATGTTATATGCCTATAATGGCCTGTCCAACTCAGACTGGCTGCATTCTGCACTAGCCGGGGCCTTTTAATCCTTTTGTCACCAGGCAAAACGACTCTATTTTTGAAGAGTTATTAGAAATACAAAATTAGGCTCTTTAAAAAAAAAGATCACATGCATTGAAACCACCTACTGCAATACTCTGCCTAATACCTTTGAACAACAAACAGTGCAGCATCATTTAAGACCCTGCTGGATTTTTATTAATCACTCCCATATTAAAGAGCCAATGAAAGCCTCAAACAAGAGGATAGCAATGTACACCCTTCCAACATTAGATTGTTAATGCAAGAGCATTTCCTTTGGGAGGTTTTATACCATCATTTAATATAAATGTATTTTCTCAAATTTCATTGGCAAAACGAGAACAGTCTAATCAGGATGTAGCAGAATTAATCACCGTTCAAGACACAACTTTAGCCCATTTTTAGTGGTGTCTGCAGAAAGCACACAGCTTTCAGTTCCACAAAAGTTTTTACTGCTGCTGGAAAGGACAGAAAAAATCTTCAAGGCACAATTATGGTTCTATAAATACATAGAAGAATTCTCTGGCAACCTCTGTTTAATAGCTCTGTTTAGAGGTCAGACTTTGTGGGTGATATAATGCAGTGTGTGTTTTAATGAGGATGTTTGCATTAAGTATCAGTTTGGCAGAGAACAAAAGGTGAGTTACATCAAAGCTGTATTAAAAAAAAGAAGTCACAGGGTGACTATTTAATGGCTTCCAGAGAAAGCTTTCTAGTATAAAAAGGAAAATTGCTCCCCCACCAGCACCAACAACGTGTGTCCCCAAATACAGCAATTAAAAAAGCCCAATAAAAAGAGAGATAATGCTGTGATCCAACCCTGGCTAGAATTTAAAAAAAAACTGTATTTTGGGTGGAGGCAGATCCAGATGGATCCCTTCAGAGGAAAAAAGGCTGATCTGTCCAAAATTGAAGTGATTCATATCCCAAGACTACTTTTGCCTGGAGTTGCCACCACAGCTGCTATCTTGACAACAAAACATGACAAGCTTTGTGCATGTTGGGATATCAGCTGCAGCAGCGCCATGCAAGAAAGCCAGGATAAGGGACTCCTTTGTTCTGATGATCTGGCCACAAGATGGTCTCCAAATTTTAAGCTGCTCTGCATTCTCTGCATTATATAAACTTGTGTGCACACTCCCACCAGCATTCCAGCACTATGCATATACATACTCTAGCCTAAATAATAGTTAATAAGATGAATAGACATTCTTGTCTGATGGCAGAAAGGAAAATATCAGTGGTTCGTCACATCAAACAAAGTTCAGCACATGCTGGGTAATCCCACTCAAGCATCAAACTCATCACAACACGGGGGGGGGAGGGGGGGGGAAGAAGGAGGTAGCAGCCAAGGAAACGTGTTCAGGGCACCAGAACGTGATGTTTTAATCAAGTGAGAATAGTGCAAACCCTGATCTAAAAACAAGAGCTGCACTACAAAAGCAACTAAAATAACCTGGTCAGAACTGTATTGGATTGTCCTGTTTTGCACGTTGTCCTCAACTACCAACTCCCCAGGTAGGGACTCACTTGTTTGGGGCACTTCTTCAATCATGTAACACCCTACACACCCACATGGATATATAAACGAATAATCTTCTCTGGTTTCCTCCCACTTCATGGTGTTATCATCATGGTAGAATCAAAGAAGCCAAAAATATTTTACAGACTGACCTGGATCATATGAAAGTTCCACTAGAGAATCATACTTTTATCTGACACACAAATCTTCTAGCTGAAGGATTTTTAACCTGCCATCACCTTAGTATCTAGGTACCATACACAAAAATTTGGATCATCTCCTCCATCCAAAAGTACCATTAACTCCACTTCTCCACCATTTATGCTGCTTTTCTTCCTGAGGCCAGGATCAAAAGTGATGGCATTGCAGAAGTAAGGGTTTTCTTAGGAGTATACTAACCCCCACCCCCAGAACTGAGGAGTTTTACTTAATGGATTTTTAACTAAAAAGAGAGATATAGCAAACACAATAAATTCATAATATTAGAAAAAAGTATTCCCTTAATAGTCAAGATAAAAGCCAAACACATCTAGGGAAGAGCTCTGATTCTGCCCTTCACTTTACACGCGTGTCAGCTCCCTCATTAAGTTATTCTCTATTTTCCACTATCCACCATTCCATTCCCCCTTGGAGTTACACTCCACCAGCAATAGTTGTGCTAATCCAGCCAATTAACTCACGCACAAAAGGGAAACTACTTTTTTCAAACACACACCTGGGTCACTTGAGAGAATAAGGATTTTCCCCTTTAAGTTCCTAACAAAGGGACATGCTGCCCCCTTCCCTCCCCTGCCACCCCCCAACGTTCAATATTTCAGCTCTCTCCTCCCATCCCCATGCCCAGCCTCCAGAAGGAACTTTGCAAAACTCTACTTGAATTGCTGGTCTTTGGTGCTCCTTGTTTTAGCCAGGAATCTCTCAGCCAACTTCTCCAAGTTCCTTGAGTAATCCATCTCGATCTCTGCCTTCTTGCGGAAGAAATCCTGCAAGTCCTGAAGTAGCTGGACCCGAAGCTCGCACTGTTGGTCGAGGCATTTCAGCTGCTCAATGAGTTGGGTGCGAATCTCTGAGCAAGGAGAGAACCGAACAAAATACCAAGTGTTAAATAGAAGCCCAACAAAGGAAAACCAAAATGATAAAAGTTAACCTAGTAAATCAAGGTTAAAAGAGCTCTCCCTCCCCATCAAGAGATCACCAAAAGCATCCAATTAACTGTATCCATAGTTAGAAAATGGTTACAATTACGTTTAGGTGACTATGGCCACAGGACGAGAGTAAGGCGATCTGGAACCCAATATTGTACACTTACAAGCAAAGCTCTACTGCTGAAAATTTCATCAATCCTAAATGTCATGGGCATATCTGTCATTAAGAAATGGTCACTTCCCCAAAAATGTCCTGAATCTCAGCCTAGATAAGACTGCAAAGCTGCAATCTCTCCTCTTCCCCTGCACCTCAAAAATCACTCCACAAAGTCTCTCAATCAAACTCCTTCGTTGACTATTCCTGAGGCAAAACCAAAGGAGCTGTGTGCGTTTTGGATATTCCCAAAAGACACCAATTTGGGATTATTTAGTTAAGTGCAGTTAGTGTGAAACCTCCATTATTAACACAGCACCACCAAACGGATAAACCCCTGTTTGGAGGAGCCAGACAGCATTTCCACTTGGACAAAGCCTCCAAAAGTAACACTTTCTTTTAAAAAAGGATCTCTCCGAATAACATGTATACACATGTATGCCATCCATAAGCCTTTTCAGGTACAAGTGTTCTTTAATGCTGTTTATGAAGCAGAATTATTAGCAGCAATACCAGTTTGCATTTATATGGCATATTTCATTTAAGATTTCAAGGCATTTTACAAATGTGAAATCAACCCTTGAAGCTTTTGGAGATAGGCTGTTAATCTCATTTTACTGATGGAGAAAATGACACAGAATGGCTAATGAGTAGCCCACATTCACACAGTGAATCAGCGTGAAGCAGAGATGTCACAGTCCCTTGCTTTAAAAAAAAAAAAAAAAAATACGAACTGGCAGTTATTGAGTTACTAGGAGAATATTTAGCTTCCAACTCTAGCAATTAACACAACAAGAAAATAATAAAATATGTACTTTCATCTGAGGATCTCTGGGTGCTCAAACATTAATTAGAGCTGCCTATTATCACTGGTGATTTGCTGCTGCTTCTTCCTAAGTGTTGAAAAAACATGTTGTTCCAGGACTGAATTTAAACTGCAATGTAAGTTAGCAAATGAAGTACTTAGCATTCAGGTCTTCTTCTACATGCACAGCTTTGTTTATGCCCGTGGATTGCACGGATGCAAAGCTTTATGATAATGGTCTTATTTGGGGCTGTGGTTGGAAAGTACTTATTCCTAGAATGATCCATTTGAACAACGTAACAGACACTGAAGTAGATTAACAAGACCATTTTTAATGGCACTACAGACAGATTAATAAACTTAAACATTAGTGCAACCAGCTTTGCTTGCCTCCCTGAGCACATCTGTCCTCTTGTCACTGACGGAAACTTATCAGGATCCAGCTCTGACCACTTTACCCTGCCAATGCACCACAAAGACCAGCAGGACAGTGTGAACAAGAAACAGTTCCATGGAGTTCAGTGACAACTCTCAAGCAAAGTGATCATACACCCTTATTTGGGAGGCGGGATAGAGGGAGAAAGGAGGAGCAGTGGTAAGGGGTTCTGTTTCAGGTTGTTGTTTTCCCCCCCCAAAAAGTCAGGATATTAGTTAATTTTTTCAAGTTATGAGATAACTTAAGGCTCTCAAATTTGAGTTGATCTTTGTAAAAAAGAGTTTAAATTGGAAGTCTTGCTTTCCCAACAGTTTACCATCCAAGGCAATTCAGAACACACAGTTCAAGGAGCAGGTAAAGGGTGTGATTCCCCCCAGCTGCTCTCTCCCCATAAATGCTACATGAGGACAAACCTGGTCAACTGTAATTTTTTTCTGGTTGGAGAACTCATGCATCTTCTATCCCTCTGTCAGGGAAAATAAAATTACATGCAAATATGCAAACTTATAGTTGTGTTCATTTATTTTCCGTCAAAACACCAAGCCACATTCATTCCTTCAGGCAGAGTAAAGTGTCAATTGCACTTCCTTCTCCTAGTGTGGCCTGCTACAAAACACAGGATGGGGTTCACACTCTGGGAAAGGTACCACTGCCATCTGTTCTTACAGTCAGGGTTAGATTCCATTTCCATCAGGGCTCCATAGAAGCCAAGCCAGGGGAGACCACAATGGACAGGCACACAGTATTCTTTTAAGTGCACACTGATCATGATCCATGGGCTTCTTGAAAAGGGCCATTGAAACCATTCATGCTGCCAACTGTGGAGTACCCTACGTAGGCAATGTTTAAAAAAACAAAAAAAACAAAAAACAAAAAAAAAACACCACACACCCTACATGTTATCTCTCCTGCAAATTTGTGATACCATGCTGCACATTCATTTCCACATGGCAGTAACATTTCAGGATTTACAGGGGTTGGAGGAAGCAAAACACTTAACACTAACACAAAATTTACTAGCAGTTATTTAATGGTTGATACTCAGTCTACACTATATTTCTTCCCCATTCGGCTTTCTCCCCATTTCCAAAAGCAATAATGGATTTGAAAAGCTTTGTATGCGTGATGAGCTTATTAACGTGCTATGCAAATAGACCTCTTTTCCATCTGTGGCTTTGTCGGTAAGACTGATACAGGAATGAAGGTGAGCCAGCTATATATAATAGACTGAGGAGCAGACAGAGCATTCCATAAGGAATGTGCAGTAATTCATTGTTTCCTTGGTGTAATGAATCACTCTCCTCACCACTTAACCTAATACTCATTTGCAAGTCTGCTATTCTGACACAGAACATCCTGCAAGGCCAACCGCATTAGCGAATTTCTCCTCCTCCCACCCCTCACCTCCTCAAGTAAAACTGATGGTCACATACAGTCAGGTGGTGTTGCTATGTGGTAACTAAGGAAAGACTCCCATTGATTTCAATGAACTTTGCCTCAAGCTCTAAACCTTTAATAGGGTAAAAAAAAAAATGTAGCTAGCACACACACAGGTAACAGAGGCACCTGAAAAGTAGATTCCGATCTGTGTCCCAGTAAAAATGGCACAAGCATCATGCATGCAGCAAGTCACTGGCATGCAATGGGTTCTATTAAAAGGTGGAGTAGACAGTTGTGTTTGTTTTTTTAAATAAGAGGGGTTCTATTACCAGAGCGTGGGGGAGGAGCACAGCAGTGCCGAGTACTATCTAGAGCGGGGGGGGGAGGGGGTGTCCTTAAACTTCATTGCACTGTGACCCCCTTCTGACAACAAAAATTACTACATGACCACAGGAAGGGGGACCGAAGCCTGAGCCCCGCTGCCCAAGGCTGAAGCCCTCAGGATTTGGCTTGAGCCCTAGGTGGTGGAGCTCAGACTTTGGCTTCAGCGCCGGGCTCCAGCAGGTTTTATGCCAGCGCTGGTGACCCCATTAAAACGGGGTCGTGACCCACTGTGGGGTCCTCACCCACAGTTTGAGAACCGCTGATCTAGAACCTCACCCTCTTTCAATACCCCAATTTTAGAAGACCCTATAACAAATAATTTTAAAATTATTTGTTAATTAACTGATCTATTGCTTGTAGATGCTCCCTCCAAATGCTTGGAAATGAAAATGCCTCTTCCTCCCTATTTTTGTAATAGCTTGTTTTTTTACATTTGGCAATTTAGTGATGATTTTCACCCTATGGTTCCAAAATCATAGTTAAAAATTAAAATGGCATATTCTGTTTGCTCCATTATTTATGTACCAAGTGTCCTATGGACTGCAGCCCACCTCCTGACACGTCTGTTAGTGAACCATTGCTCCAGAGACTCAAGAGAGCACTGACAGTGGCTCCATTTTCCCCTCAATATTTTTTTTTTTTAACAGCGGTGGAAGAAAAATATGTTTCTCGGGAATTTTCCAGTTCCATGAACAGGGCCAATTAGATAGGCAGAACTGCAAGGTCTCAATGCGTGGATGAAATATGGTGTTTGAAGGAGGAATTTAGGTTTATGAGGAACTGGACCACCTTTTTGGGAAAGGAGGAGTCTATACAGGAAGCTCCAACAAAATCAAAATGGAAGAAGACTGTTAGAATGTAAAGGCAGGGGAAAGACGATAGGTGTGGAGGAGCACACAGTTCAGACATACGCATCCCTTAGGGAAGGATTTATTAAAGGGGATACTCTATATCCTAGCAAAGAGGAGATGACAGAAGTTGATAAAGTACAGGTAGGAACTGAAGAAAGGAAAGAAAAGGGAAGAAAGAATCCCATTCAATTACACCACATGAAGGCAGACAACCAAATATTGACAAATCTGATAAGTGCTTATATACAAGTAATACAGTAGGTCACACTGGTGGGAAGTGGCACTACATGTGAAAAGAAAGCCATGTCAAATATACTAAAAACCTTAAATGAATCAAACAATACCACAGAATCTCTATGGATAAAAATTCCAAGCATTAATAAGGGTATATAATACCGAGCGGAAATATACCACCAAGCACCTGACAGGTCCTTGACTCTGACTGAAATGCTCAGAGAGATTAGAGAGGCTACAAAACAGAAAACCCAATAATAGTGGATACAGCTATGATTTAGACAGGTGTTTTTAGTAAAAGTCATGGACAGGTCACTGGCAATAAACAAAAATTCACGGTCCATGACATGACTTTTTACAAAATACCAGTGACTAAATCTTGGGGGGAGGAGGGGCAGCACTGTGGAGCGAGGGCTCCGTGACTGCCACGACCTCAGTGACAGACAGAGCCCGAATAATGGGGGATTTCAACTAGTTCCATACTGACTGGGTACATGTCACCTTAGGATGGGATTCAGAGAAAAATGTATACACCATTCATGATAGCTTCCTGGAGCAGCCAGTTATGGAACGCACAAGGGGAGAGGCAGTTCTTCGTTCAGTCCTAAGTGGTGCACAGGATTAGGTATAAGAGGTGAACATAGCTGAACTACTCAGTAATAGGGACCATAATGGAA